AAAGCAATTTGTCTGTCGTATTCAATGAAATGTGCATATATATATATATATATATATATATATACATATATATACACATATATATATATATATATATATATATATATATATATATATATATATTGAATTTGTTTCGGATGTCAAAACCGAGTGGCTTGAAGATTGTTTATGCATGAAACAGTCTTCAACGATGTTGTTCCAATTTCTTTGGAATAACTTATTTCTAAAAATTACGTGTTTTTAATAGCATATTCATAATTGAAAGCAAAATTTCCATGGTACCTATTTAAACATTTCGCCCTGGCTGTTACCATGGAAATTTTTCTTTCGCTGAAAATGGAACAGAGCTTACTTTAATTCAATTTAATTCGAACAAATAATTATATTGAAGTTTTCGGCTGTTTTTGAAACATGAGACCTCTTATGTAGCAATTGGAATCATATTTTTAAATAAATAATTATATATATATATATATATATATATATATATATATATATATATATATATAGATAGATAGATAATATAAATGTTGTAACCTAGAAAGGGTTACTGAATGAGGAATAACCAAATACAGAGATTGGAAATGAAATGGTAATCTTTATAACATCAACAAAATATAATACTCGCCAGCGGCCTGAAGTAGGTAAACCACTTCTAGTCGTGGACTACTTAGACACCATATAACTCCCACCTAAAATAGTGTTCAACGTATTTATGAGGATTGGGACATACCCATTAGTGTTCATTTGGCGGTATCTAACACTATGTGCCAACTTAGGGTTTCAAAAATCATTCAGTGTGCCAACAGCATACGGATTTTTATACAAGTCAAGGTCAATATACCTGTTCTACAATATATTTTATGTAGTAATATATAGTATATATAATTTAGTATATATTAACATTGAAACAGCTAAATATTTTCTTTGGGTTGTAGTAGTTATTGGTTCGGACTTTCGCGGCTGCGTGCCATTGGAAATGTGGGTAACCCTTGCTCTAAGAGACAGATAACTTTGAATCCCAAACATAGAAAAGAGGAAATGAAACCACTCGACTACCTTTCCTAAAGGTCCATAGAAATTTATCAGATAATAGAGAAAAATGTATCCATAAAATCATTGTCACCTACATATGGGAATTAAAAAAAAAATTCTATCCCATTACTTTCTGGCCTTGTACCATACAATGCTCTACTTAGGAAATATCTAAGCTCATTTAATATTGTAGGACATAATATTATTACATAATAAGCACTCCGATATAATTTTGTTTTGTGCCATTTTTAAATTTTTGCACCCCGGGCAAAATTGAATGAATAGCGAGTATCAACTCTACACAGGTGAATAATACATTTAGTCCACCTCGATGTTTTCTCAGGTTGATAAATCTTCAAAAATATGTGAGAAGAATCAAGAATAAAAGGAATGAGCAAAGACAGGAGGTGGGGAATTAGAGGCGTGGGTCGTGGGAAAAAATGGCGATAGGATGATGGGCGCTCGAAAAATGGTAGGCGCAACGTGAACGTGGGAATAAGTGTCTGGCGATGTTCGCTAAGCAACAGGTTCACTGATTGCATTCAAGATAAAGTGTGGGTGGTGTTGTGAAGAAGAAGAAGAAGAAGTGGAATATGAGGTTGGTGACCCGAGGGGAAGGAGAAAAGTCACGGGTGAGGCATTGGAATAGTGGATGCCGTTTAATAAAGGGAGATAACTGATGCCAGTCTCTGCATAACTTGGAACGATAATGTGGAAATGAAGGACTGAATTACAAAATAAAAATATAACAATAATATATACACAACATATTTTTTGCACGCAGCTAGAAATAGCCTGGGATAGATAGATAGAATAGATAGATAGATAGATAAATAGATAGATAGATAATGACTAGACAGGGATAGATAGATAGATAGATAGATAGATATGATAATGAATATATTGAGATAGATAAATATGATATATAGGTGGAAAGAAAAAAAAGAAAGAAAGAAAAAAAGAAAGAAAGAAAGAAACAAATTGATAGATAGATAGATAATGACTAGACAAAATTATAGATAGATAGATAGATAGATATAAAATATTCTTAGAAAGAAAAAGTTTCTTATTTTTTTCAAAAAGAAAGATAGATAAAATTCTAGACTGGGATAGATAGATGGATAGATAGATAGATAGATAGATAGATAGATAATGACTAGACAGGGATAGATAGATAATGAATAGACTGAGATAGATAAATAGATAGTTAGGTGGAAAGAAAGAAAGAAAGAAAGAAAGAAAGAAAGAACGAAAGATAGATAGATAGATAAGGAGTAGACTGGGATAGATAGATAGATAGATAGATAGATAGATAAGGAAAAGACTTAAAACTTACATAATAATGAATAGACTAAGAAAGAAAGAAATGAAGATAATAATAGAACAGATATAGGATATATATATATATATATATATATATATATATATATATATATATATATATATATATAGATAGGTAATGAATAGACTGATAGACAGATAGATCCAATGATTGTTCCAGTGAAAACCTTATAGGTAAGTAAGTCGAATAAAATTCATTAAAGCCCCCGCCCGTCACCAGAAACCTGATAAATGTAAAGGTGACACAAACAATAAACATGACCTTTGATCTCAGTAAAACCTGGCCTTTTTTTAAAAAATAATTATTTATTTCATGCATTTACATAAATTCATGTAAATATGCCCATAACGCGATATATGTGTGTTATAGACAGGTCGATAAAATCGATGAAGATATATATATAGGCAATTTAAATAAATATATAATTCAAATAAAAATATATTTATATATGTACATACATATATGTGTGTGTGTGTCTTGAAAAGTATGATATATATATAATATATATATGTGTAATATCTTATAGATATTATTATTTATATATTATATGCGCGGTACTTATTATAAATTCGCTTCAATATCAAAGATGGACGGATTTTTTAAATAATTATGGTATCATTCATCAACTTACACAAAATAGAAAGATCAGAAGATGAATTTATTTTCCCTATCATCTGGATTTAATCTGCGGTTGATATTTTTAGTGATTTTATTGAATAAATGTACTCTTTTAAGATATGTAATTTCAGTAAATATAGCCGTTAAAATGAGATGTCAGTGTTAATTTTGTTTTGCGTAATTTAGAAGAAAATTTATCTCTCGCACCCTGTGCCCACGTGTATATATATATGTTTATATATCTAAATATGTCTGCGTGTTTGTGTTTTATAATCTGATTGTGCTTGTATTGTCTTTTTGCAAGATTTCATCCTCCCTTGCCCATAACTTCACTTCAAATGTATCCAAGTTGTCACGGAGTTCAGAACAGTATTAGATCTTAACGTTTATTCTAACTTAAATAAAAACAAAATAAATAGAAAAACATATGTATTTTTTTCCTCAGTTTATTCTTTAAATAATTTTAAACTTAATATTGATTAAATTTAAAATTGGTAATTTTCAATTTTGAATTTTATAATTTAATTTAATATTTATCAGTTAGAATGAATTCTATTTTAGTCTAACCCCAATATTAAAACATTAAATAATTATTATAACCTTAGTCCGTTGTTTTTTTTTTTGAATTCTAATATTCTTGTATTTTGATTGGTCATTCCAGCTTATGTAACAGCGTTTCCACTAGCGAGGGGTGTTTTATTGATTTGAACCTTTTAAAACCCTTTATTCTACATTCAACACCATCACTTGATAAGACAAGAGAAGTGTTGAAACAAAATGGCTATTTTTGTGGTGATTTTATAACATTTTTATGTTAGAATTTTCGAATAAATGATTATATTTGCTCTACTCTGTATTGAGCACTTTTTAAGAATAGTAATTTTTTTTATTATATAATCTATTCTCGTATACACCAATCCTATACTTGGATATATATATATATATATATATATATATATATATATATATATATATATAAAACGAGAGAAAAAAGAGAGGTTAAAATAAATTGAAGCAAGAAATTCCCAAATTGGTGACGTTGAATGAAAATAATTTAGTTTTATATTTATGATGAGTTCTGTTGACAGACGGATAGACATCAATAGTCGAGACAGATAAAAAAGATAGATAGATCCAAACATAGATAGATAGATAGATAGATAGATAGATAGATAGATATGAACAGCGATAGATAGATATGAACAGCGATAGATAGATATGAACTGAGATAGATAGATACAGAGATAGATAGATACGAACAGAGATAGATAGATAGATAGATAGATAGATATGAACAGCAATAGATAGATATGAACAGAGATAGATGGATAGATAGATCGTTAGATAGATAGATATGAACAGAGATAGATTGATACGTACATACCATACAAAGATTTGAACAGACTGACACGCACATATATATGTAGAGAGAGAGAGAGAGAGACAGACAGATAGATAGATAGATAGATATATATAGATAGATGAATAGACTGAGATAGATAGATATGAACTGACTACAGATAGATAGACCTTACATACATACATACATACATAGATATGAACAGATTGATATATATATATATATATATATATATATATATATATATAGATAGGTATGAATAGGCTTCTATATATACATACATAGACATGAACAGATTGAAAATATATATATATATATATAGATCAGATTTTGAAAGTATAGTATATATATATATATATATATATATATATATATATATATAGAAAATAGATAGAAAGATGATAGATATGATAATGAAATAAACTGCTTAAATAGATTTATGAACAGACTCTAGATAGATAATAGATAGATAGATAGATAGATATAATCACAATGAAATAGAATACATATCAAATAAACATTTAGATATCTTTCGGTCTGAGATAGATCGATATGAACATATTTGGATAGATAGATATATAGATATGAAAAACTAATAATAGATATTAGATAAATACGTAATTTGAGATATATCCAAATAAACATGAATTTCGTCTTCTGTAGAGTAATGAATGTTTTTATGAAAAAAAAAAAAAAGAATAAAATACAAATATTTTAAACTTGGTCGAAAAACATTTATTCTTTTTCTTCCTTTTTTTTTCCCATTATTTTTTCTTCTTTTTTATTTTGTCTTTAATAAAACAACTAAGATTTATATACTCCGATGAAGGAATTGGAAACCAGTTACTATTTTCTCATCGTCTGCTTAGAGTAAATACTATAGATATTTTGATTTTAAAACTGTCTATTTATATTTATGTAATTTTATGGATCATAATATTAAGATCTAATGCTGAAAGTGATTTTGTAAGTAAACAAATTTATTAGTAAAAAAAAAAAAAAAGAATATTTTGTCAGGGAAGGGATTTCAAATGTGTTTGAGTCATCAAGAAATGAACAAAGACAAATAAATATTTGTTTTTTATTTATCTTTCTCAATATATATATTATAATATCCAAACCATGTTTATAAATTGTTTATTTTAATATATCAGCAAATCAAAGCTTTTAAAATAGCAAATGAAAAATCTTTGTTTATCTTCCTTACTGGATTTACAGAAAGCCTCCAGAAGGAACAACCATATGAGTTATTTTTACATAGACGATTAAAATATTGCAAATCTATATCATATATAAAAGATAAAATGAAACGTTAACAAGATGCAGAATATCACTTTCAATTTAAACATTTTCCTCAAAGAATAATTGTTTGCTTCAAATTCTATCTCTCTGAATTGTATGTTTTATTTCTATATTATATATATATAATATATATATATATATATATATATATATATATATATATATATATTGAACAATAAAAAAATTAAAAATTAAAATCTTCAGACACACTGGGTTGTAGATTAATATTCTTTCGTTTTTTTTTTATTATTTCATTTAGATTCCTCGACTAGTTTCGGCCAAAATGGCCATCATCAGGAGAAGAAATATTTCTGCTTGCTGGTAGCAGTGAACTACAGAAATGAATGTCTTGATGGAGAAAATGAACTTTTGTCTGTAGTTTTCATTTGTTTTTTTTTTTTTTTTTTTTTTTTTTTTTTATTTCATAAAAATATTTTGGTCATCTTTTGTGTTGGTCAAACAGTCTCTTTTTTTTTATTATTTGAAATAAGAAAAAAATTAGGATTCAAAATTCTGAATTTCCTTGGTCATCCAAATATGTATATATATATATGAATATATCATTTTAACAATAAAAAAAATTTTAAAAAATAAACTTTTCAGATATTACTGGGTTTGTATAATAATATTTTTATTTTAATTATTTCAATTAATTTTCTGAACTAGTTTCAATAACAAATATAATATCATCAGGAGAAAAAAAAAATATCATTTGTTAATAACAGTGAATTATATATCAATGACTGTTTTTAAAGAAAATTTTTTTATCCGTGGTTTTCATATGTTTTTTTTTTATTGTTAATTTTCGTCAGGGCTTGTGTTGTTCAAACGGCCTCTTTCAAATTGTTTTTAAGATAAAGGATACGAGATTTTGTCTAGGTTTATTCTGTCTCTTGAGATGTGACCGAGTTTTTATTTTGATTTATAGGCATTTATTTATTTTATTTTATTTCTTTATTCTTTTTTTGCAAGTGACGTTGTATTTTCATTTGTATGTTTTTTTAAATAATTGATAATAATAAATAATTGAGAATAATATTCAAATGACAAATGTGATATATATATATATATATATATATATATATATATATATATATATATATATCAAATATATACCATCTCATAATCTAGAGCCATGAAACAGCATATCCACAAAACGTCAAAGTAATAAAACTGTGAAACTTTATTTGGCTGAAATATATATATATATTTGATTTTGGAATAGAAAAAAACCTAATATATTTAGCTCTATTTCAAATTCATATGTTAAATTTAAATATATAATATATAAATAATTATATATATATATATATTATAAATATAAAATATATAAAAGCGTTTAAAACAGTGGACACACAACACATATTATATATATATATCATATATATATATATATATATATATATAATATATATATATATATTGGTTAAAACAATTTTTTTGCCTTCCATGTCGACATATTTACTTAAAATCATCAATCAAAATAGGAAAAATATTGATTTGAGTACTACCTTTTTTTAATAATTTGTATTTAATGTTTGAAAAATTTAATGCTTATATTAAATTCAAAATATCAAAAAGGAAACACTAGGAAAAGTATTTCGCTTTCGAACTTAAATTTGAATTGACAATTTTTACATAATTTATTACCTGAAAAAGAAAGAAAAAAATTTAGATCGCATAAGAAATTGTATAAAAACTAAATAAAAGCACCTTGTCTGTCGTATTCAATGAAATGTACATGTATATACACACACACAAACATATATATATATATATATAAACAAAAATATTTAAAAAAATAACTTCCCCATTTAAGCACTAGTTTATTAATAACAAAGTACAGTCATCAGTGCACATGTACCTGTGTACACACGTTTATATGTACGCATACGTATACCTATATACACGCACGTAAACAGATGAAAAAGTGTGCGTGTACATAGGCGTATAAACACAGACCTATCTACTTAAATTTTAACTATACTAATTATAATTTAATTATAAATTTAGATTACTATTAATACTTACGACACCACGAAACTAAATTAAAAAAAAGAAAATGATTCAGTGGAGATATATAAATATATGTATGCATGTATGTATAAAAATATATTTATATATTTCATGTATGTATAAATGTGGATGTCTGTTTGTGCGTGCATATAAATATAACACACATAGAATTTTGTGTATATGCAAATATTTACCATTTATGCATTAATACCATTAGTATCATATATATATACATATATATATAATATATATAAAATATCATAAACTTCATACATATATATATATATATATATATATATATATATATATATATATATATATATATATATATATTTGTGTGTGTGTGTGAAAATATATATTTGTTTTAAAAAACTCGTTTTTAAATAATCTGAAAAATAAATTTAGTTAATTTTTGTTATTATTTTTAAAAAAATAATATTTTCCATAAAAAAGAAGAACATATATATATATATATATATATATATATATATATACATATATATATATATATAGTTAGTTTATGCAAATTTAGGTAATCCGTATGGGTAGACCTGAGGAGGATGATATCCAGAGAGCTCAATGTAAAATTCAGAGCAGATATGTTTGAATAAAAGACAGACCACGTTAAGATTCCATGTAATAAGCTATTTCACCATAACCCCTTTAACAGGGTTCTGGATCATCAGACTTTACTTCCAAAAAAGCTGAAATGAAAAAAATGAAAAGAAATTCACACGTTTTTTACGGACCTCATCAAGTATACGCAAAGTTAACGAAGTGAGGAAGTGAGGTGGGAGAGAGGATATGAATGTGTCATATGTATCATTTTAGTTTCCTATTTTAACCCCAGTGTGTCGGCTGGATGTTGCTCAAATCTAACGCGTCTCGTCTCTGAAGAAATGTAGTCTTAAATGTGCTATATTTATGTCAAATATATATATATATATATATATATATATATATATGAAGGTTTCTCGGCGTGGTGTAATGGTTAGCAAAAAGCTTGTTTCGCTTAAACAGATACGACTGTTACTGATGATGAGGATATATATATATATATATATATATATATATATATATATATATATATATATATATATATATATACATACATTAGTAAAAAAAATATCATATATTTATAATTCAGATTTTTTAGCTTTTACTTTATATCTAAAAAACAGTGGACATAATTATTTAAAAAATAATAAATTATATATATATATATATATATATATATATATATATATATATATATATATATATTGAAAAATTTAAATTTAGATTAATTTTTCAAATTTCAATCTTTCAATCCAGAGTTTCATTCCCAAGTGATATTTATCTGGCTTGTAACATTTCATATTTAAGTGAGCATTGAAGTCAACACTCAGAGGCAACAGACAGTTTCATGCTCGACGTAATCATCAGGCCACATATATATTTAAATACGCTCTATCCCCTGATATTAAGCACTTTATCATTAAATATATCACCACGGAATTTGTGAGTAGCGGCGCTATATCGAGTCGAATCAGTTTCTTCTTCGTCACCGGAGCCCGTTGGTCCAGTGGTATGAAGCTTGCTTTGAATCGTAACGGTCCGGGTTCGATTTTCCGTAGTGGATGCGCACTAATTGATGAGTCCCAAATATACGAAACGGCAGTCTCTGATTTTCATTCTGGTGAGATTTTCTATACTCGATTAAATACTATAATGATTATTCTAATCCCCAAATTCTATTATATATATATATATATATATATATATATATATATATATATATATATATATATATAATTGACAAAACACACGAAAATGGTGTTGACAATTTTGGAGAATATAACTTATTAATTACATCAAGGATGTTTCAAAAAACAAAACGGTGGGACCTAATTGCTGATCTAGTCGTACGCTTGAATTCATACAATGGAGGCACCAAAGAAAACTCATGAGAATATTTTACCAGGAAAATATTTATAGAACAGAAAGCAAGAAGACCTTTGACGGCGGTGTGAAAGTTACTGAAGTTGAGATGACAGGTCAAGACCAATAATATTACAGGCCATTTTTGAAATTTGCCAAGAATCTCGATATATATATATATATATATATATATATATATATATATATATATTAGCATATATCTATCTTTCTATCTATCTATCTATCTTGGTTTGTTCATATCTATCTATCTTGGTTTGTTCAAATCTATCTATCTATCTTGGTTTGTTCATATCTATCTATCTTGGTTTGTTCAAATCTATCTATCTATCTTGGTCTGTCATATCTATCTATCTATCTATCTTGGTCTGTCATATCTATCTATCTAT